TGGGTCATGCATTGTTAGCACAGAACTGTTTCTGCATGAGAAAATAATCATTTTGTGATATTATTCAATGTCATTAAGCACTTGCTCATTTGCACTTGGCTCACTTCACCGACTGAACGGTGAACGGTGATTTGACCTCACAGTGGCTACCATGTGTGCCCTGATATTAGCAGTGGGGATTCTTTGAACTGTTTATCCAATATTCTGTCCATCCTGAAGGTCATCTCTGAAGGACATGAAAAGAGTGTCCTTAATTATCAATGGATCTCCCCTTATTCATTTTTCTTTGCAGCTCTTACATATTCTGCTCGTTGTTTTTTTCATTCACCATTCCAGTTCACCTCATCTGTTCATTCTTCTCATTTTCTCCAGTATGTACCCTATTCAGTCCCTATTGCTTCTTCAGATTTTTCAGCCTGAAGACTTTCAAGTCGCTACGAAAAATATTTTTTTACATGACAAAATCTAACAAATGCATGGTGAGTTAGATTTAAAATGCAAGAAAATGTTAATACGACTGCAAATACATTCCTAATAAAGTTACTACTAGATTAATGCACAGTAATGCTTCTACAAATCATATTTGAAATGCTTCTACAATTTGCATTTCACACGCAGACAATGACGTAAAATATTTTCACATAAGAATATGTAAAAGATTGTATGTTAAGGAATATACAAGTTATTGCATATCATGTGACATATGCAGATCAGTGCATATTATGCATATTTTATCAAACATATGCAAAATGTGTAAACTTTTTGTTTTATATTTATTTGTTTTCTCTAACATATATATATTTCAGGTCATTACAACACATCAAGATATTCAGGACTATTTGTGCTGCTATATTTGCTTTTACATTCAGTTCAAAAGATGCAAATTTTACTAAACAAATTTCTGGCTTTGTTCAGAGTGCTGCTAAAGCACAAGTGCACTCGCAGTTGGTGAACCTCACTGAATTCATATCTGCCGTGACAAAGCTATCTTTTAAAGAGTCATTTACAAGGTTTTTTTAATTAAACCACTTGCTTGTGAGAGTCACTTATTTCAACAGACCTCTCTCTCTATAACAATCATACAAAAAATCAGTTTAGGCTAAATTAAAGGGGTCATATGATGCGATTTCAATTTTTCCTTTCTCTTTGGAGTGTTACAAGCTCTTGGTGCATAAAGAAGATCTGTAAAGTTGCAAAGACTAAAGTCTCAAATCCAAAGAGATATTCTTTATAAAAGTTAAGAGTCAACCACACCTACCTAAAACGGCTCATTCTAACACGCCCCCACATATCTACGTAACGATGTGGGAAGATTTGCATAACGCCGCCCAAATGTTCATGCAAAGAAAAAAGGCGTAACTTTTATTCTCGCTGTAGTATTGTTGTTGCCGCCGCCG